AAAACTCGAGTACGGCTGAACCGATTTATCTAATATTCGTGTTGTATAACTTGTGGAAGTCCAGGGTAGGTTTAAAAGGTAAAAAAAAAACTAATTGCAATATGAGTATTGATCTGGAAAAAAGGCAATTTCTAGTTACTAGTTTGTTGCCAGCTTTAAACATGTTACAGAAACCATAAGAAATGCTACTGTCTCAACGATGTACAGAATTAAATATCATTTAGTCACAAAACAGAAACCCATTGCTAATTAACCTACAAACACATTTTCTTTACACAAAATCAGTTTTAATTACAACAAATGGCCTTGATCAGTCCTTATTTTACAGCAGATCAGCCATCTTAATTGATTCCAGTCACATAAACACATACATGAACATTAATTACTACAATTGACTATGGAACCTTTGCATAATACCTTATAGAACTGTCAGTCTATAATTAAAAACAATTAAACTATTTTAAATCCCTTTGTTTTGTGATGTAAGTGATATTTTTAGTGTTATGGACATTAAAACAAAATGGAAGATTTTTGTAAGACACAATTGTCCAAATTAACAAAATGTGCCATGACTATGGAGTGTTTATTTTAGTAATGAATACAACAACAGCTTAACTTGTTCGCATCTGTCAAAATAAAGTCTAATATTAACTCGTCGAGTACCGGTTTTATAGACACAATTAAAGAACAATAGGTCGCGGTCACCGGTGACCGCTTGGTGTTTGACAGTTTAACCTGCCCAGTATAAAGCTCCCTTATCTGTAATCAACATACGAAAATATCTTGTCCTAAACAATATATTTTTGGAGTTCAGAAAATATGTTAGGTATTTCAAGTAAATTACTATTTAATCAATTCAATAATTCATCATCATCATCATCAACAGCCTATAAATGCCCACTGCTGAGCAAAGCCTCTTCTCACACGGAGAAGGTTAGAGCATTAATCACCACGCTTGCTCAATGCGGGTTGGCGATTTCAAACTTATAATTAGAAATTATAAGTCCAGGTTTCCTCACGATGTTTTTCCTTCACCGTGTGTCAGTGGTGTCTAAATAATCTTAGAAAGTACATATAACTCGGAAAAAGTCACATTGGTACTTGCCGTTGGTAGGTTTCGAACCCGCACCCTCATGCATGAGAAGTGGGCGATTCAATAATTGCACAAACAAAATGTTACATCATAACTACAATTAAAATACACTAATAAACTGGGGCACAAGAACTGTAGAGAAACAATCTACAATCTACATTTAAAAGAACTATAATCATATTCCAATGATTTTTATGTAAATGAGTTTGAACACTGAATGAGGGCACATTTTTAACTTATCATATCTAAACTCCTTTTTCCCTGTCTACCCATGAACAATGAACAAGGAAAGAGTTGCTTAGTAGGAATATTTGAATAAATCTAACTATTCATTGCAGACAGAGATGTAAATTAATGTAAGTATTTCATTTCATTTATTTACTAACAGGCAGTTTCTTATCTTAGAATAGATTTAAAGTAGATTTTTCAGTCAACAGTAAATTCTTAACTATAGAATAAAATTGACTACCTATTAACAGTTTTTAGTATGGAAGAATTGTCAAATATTCAAAGTTATTCCTCAGTTAAATTTATCTGGCATGGGATAAATCACCCTTAGCTACTAAAGGTAATATTTGAGTTTAGTTATAAGTTCCACACAAATGGAATTGCACCCGATATATGGCAATAGGCTCACCCCCTATTACATGGGACTCATAAAATAAATAGTGAAAAGTGGGTGTTACATTGTACAGTGGCATAATGTGCACCCCTGCCTACCCCTTCGGGGATAAAAGGTGTGATGTTATGTTCCACATAAAATGTGGCAAGACCCTAGATGCAAATCTACGAAATAGGCTACTGAGACTAGCTGAATGTTGACAAATAAAACTATCAATACTGAATTTGAAAACTATGAACAATTTCAATGTTACGTGATAGCTTTTCTAGCACATGCTTAATGAAAATAGACCCAAAAATATGTCTGTTTCAAACAGAGAACAACTTGCGCATCCCCAAACGAAAACAAGGAAATAAGAATGAATGGTTAGACAGTCAATGGTCCAGTAATTACATTACTAAAGAGAAAGATTAATATAAAACCAATCTTATTGCAAGTAACATTGAGTGCAAAATATGTGAACACAACTAAACTAGTCATACAATACATAACAAGAGTATGAAAAATTTGTATGACTATGCTTTGAATTAGTAATCAGAATCACAGGTTTTTCACATTGACAAAACTTTGTCCAGTACCTAAATAATCATTGAGGAAAGGTCACAAATATTTTGATTTTTAATGATTATAATGGAGGTGGCAATGATTTGAAGGTATAGTCAACCATGTGAGATGAATATGTGAAGTTTATGTATTTGATTACCTGTGAAATCTATCTTGTTTAAAATCATAATTATCTAAATGTCTATATTTTACTACTCTCTTAACATTAAGTTGCTGGTAGCTTTATTGTCACATAATTATGATGTTAAACAGGCTCCTAAAGCAATGCTAACTTTTAGGATATTTAGGATGTGTTAAGAGGGAGCCAGTAAAACCCATATAAGCACAATTCATTGTGATTTCAACTAATATTCTACATTATCTATTGCCATGAACTAGGCAAGAAGAAATAATTAAATGTAACCTCAACATAAAATCCAATCTTCAGATTTTTTTAAATAGACTAAACATGTGTCATGTTCATCATAAAATGACTGCTCAAAATTCATAAAATTAATTAAAGAAAATTTTCAATTGACCTCCTTAGATATTCTGTCATTCTGCCAATGATTTCTTTGCCTTTGTTAGTGAGCTTAAAAATCAATGAGAAACATCTATGGTTCACCATAAAAAACCTTGTCTAATGTTTCTATAAGTACATTATACTAAGATGGTCAGTCACAGATTCATAATTAATGCTTTATTATGGGTACAAGCACAAAGGTTATCATACAGATAATGATTCTGCAAAACTTCAATTTGTAGGTTATTTTCATATTTTGTTGACAAATGTTGTTTGCACTTCATGTATTTCTAAAATGCTATTGCAAATTAATATTACACACAAGAGCTATGACCTCTAGTTGTTTTTTTCAACAATAAATGTTAATATCTCCATCTCTTTCCCACACAGCTGTTCAAACTCAAGTAGAAAAAGACATTTGACTTGAAATAAATTTAAATAATGTTCCCATGACACATTCGAGGGTAGCATAGTAACATGAGAAACTATACGTTAAATAGAATCCGCGTAACAACAGAATTATTTAACAACAAGTCAATTGTTGATAAAATTTTAAGAATTACTGATTAGCTTAATTTCTTTTACTACATACGTAAGACACAAATACGCTTACCTGAATTTAACTTCATTGGAACAATGTATATTCTTGATTATAAACGACTCTTCAGGCGTTAAACAACGCCTCTAAATACTGATACAACGAAATTGTTCTACGATTTCGCTAAATACACAACGGCGATGAATTGTAATCATCTGTTCTCGCAAACATTTCTTGTCGCCCAAATTTTTATGTAACAGCTAAGTTTTTTGATCGAAAACAGACGCCGAAAGACCGTTGCGAGAACTTCCTCACATCTACAACTCTAGCAATAGTGAATTCAGAGAGCAAAAGGTTAAAACTATCGGCGTAAGTAATGATAACCAAACATTAATCCAAACAAGCTATCGTCACAGGATGTAAACACTAAATACTAAAAACCAAACTAATGACAATAACATTGCATTTACCGTCGGAGTTCGAACGATAAAACATCTTCGACTTATTGCGATTCCCAAATCCGATTTCGCCCTTGACTAGCGGGCGCAAAAAGTCACCACTTACCGGCCATGACAAAGCCCAGCACAAAAACTTTAAGAAGTTCAATAGTTTTAGTACACAATCACTTGAGTGTTTTGCTAAAACATCACACAAATATCCCGATTAAAACGGATTAAAATCATTTCAACATTACATCGGTAAAAAGTAATGGCGCTGAGAAATACATACAAATAATTACTGCAGAATTTAGTGTTGCCATACTGGCCTTCACAAAACCTACTAATAGCTTCTGCAAATAATCAACAGTCACGTCACGAGTTTAATGTTGCGTTGTTGTGTCAGTTATTCTTGCTTTTTATAAGAATATCCCTGTGTGAATTTCCCAACAAATTATATTGACGTCAACTCGTCACACACTAATGAGACTAATATTAGCAAATTGAAGTCATTTATGAGATTAACAGTATTTTATCTGTTTAAATTCAATTTTACTTAACCTGTTTCATATCAACTTAGTAATATTATCATTTTCACAAAAATATTTAATAGAAAATAGACAGACCACGTTCAATATAGAGTCAACTCATTAAAATCAATGAAAAAGTATAGCATCTAATTTGTACTTAATTTACACTTAATATTATTTATATAAATTTTATTTAATAAAAATAGAAATCAAAATCTTCAGCAGTCGCAACTTACAGTATAACTAACAGGACAGTAGAATTTTACGTAAGTAGCAACACCTTTACTCTAAATGTCAAAATGGACGTTAGGGAAAAAAACAGTCATGAAAAAGCGCGCATTTCATTTGACTTCTGTGCTGCCATCTTGTAGAAAAATATAGGACTAAACCCTGTTTCACCGACACTTTTAACTTCTTATTTAATCCGGTTTCGCTATGATTAGGATTTACGGTTATAGAATAATATTATTTGGGTAAATACATGTATTGGTATATAACATATTGAATTTCACAGATGTAAAGAAAGTATTTTTTTTAATTTTTAATGTATGGAAATGTTCTTGTATCCGTTTTCCGGTTTTGAAAACTTGAAATAACGCTTGATAACGTTTGCCAAACGAGAATGTCAATGTCACAGTTTTTGAAATATTTTAGGTTTTGTGAAGCAGGACTGATTTCTTATTAACACTAAGTACCTACCTACCTACTATAAAAATGAGCGGGGAAGTAAAATTGTTTGATTCGGTAAGAACATTTCTAAAGTAGACTTAGTTCATAGCCCGTACGTATTGTATTGGATAGGTACCTTTTGCTAAAATAATATTTGTAGTGGTAAAGTTTTTCTACCTAGCGGGGCTTAATTGATTAGACTATTTCTAAGAAATTTGAGACACACAAAGTTACTTTATTGTTATATACCTTCAAAAGAAATGCTAACTTCACATTTTATTATGATTTTTACCAACACATTCTCTTTGTTGAAGTTTCTTTGTTTATAATTTGTAATCTGACTTCAACAAATCAGCTGGCTGCAAAAAATGCACACCTTTGCCGCGTCGACCATTTATGAGACGGGAAGAGACAGGTGACCGTCGACGAGTTCTCGCACCCTACTTTTTGTGTAGGGTCGGGATAGTGGTTTTATCTACCTGAACAGATGTTGAATCTACTACTTGAAACTTATTAGAAAATCTGTACAACTTTAAATGAACTTTTTCTAAACAGTTTATTTAATATTATGTTGTTTTTACTCAAGAAAGTAATCTCTTTGCTCAAAAAGTTTTTATTTGGTCTGAGTCTCTTTGATCACTAGTATTAAAATTGCATAGGTACTAAGTCGACCTCACAGCTCACACGTTTTGTTTTGAAACAGGTAAGTCATTATTAAGATGGGTTGATATCTTCATAAATTACCTGAAAACACTTCCGTGTAAAAAGATATAGAAGTATAACTGTATAATGGTTAACATAGAAACAGAGTTTGCAATTTTCTCACATACAATTTCTGTTCTTTGTACTATTTTATGATTGCTCGTATCTTCAATAGATGGCGTTTCTTGTCTTGTTATAGGTGTCTTCGCTAGTTAATCCTTCTTTATTCTTCGTAAATAATTATCGCCGTCTGGTTACCTATTTTAGGATCCCTTATGAGTCCCTAGTCCCTTTAAGTTATAGCAAATTTCTTCGAGGTTTTGGAAAATATTTTACTTGTGTTACCGTAAAATGGGGTGGATAGGGGTCGAGAGGGAATAGATATTAGGAAATTCTTCATGGTATCGATTCACCCCTCTTTTGTCCCTATTTACCTCTCGATCCCCATTCACCCCATTTTATCGTTCCTTTTTTTAAGGGAGGAAAATCATCGAATGACTGCTCCCGCCTGTGGGAGGAGTTTCAGACTTACTGACTAAAAATCACCCCGTTCCTTCTCCTGCACGTCGAGTCGGAGCCCCGGAAACCCGTTAGGTTCTCCGCGACAATTTTACCGTTACTTATAACTTAGATTTTGATATTATTTGTTTTCCACATACCATTTTTGTTTCCGTGGTCGAAAATTATGCTTAATTTTTGAAGGCTGTTCTGGCGGGCCTCGGCGAATAACCGCCGTTTGTTCTTTGGGGATGGCTGCGTCGCTAAAGGTGATACTACCATCGTGGTGGTCGCCATCATCTTGTTATACCACCATTACACTGATATCTGAAATAAAAAAATGGGAGGTTAGTTGCTGGTGCTAAAAGAGAGCATATTCTGGATATATTTTCGTTATTTCCGTCTTTGATTGCACAATAACCGCATGAACATTCTCTGATATATAATCGACTGCTGTCGTAAAAAAAAACTTTTTTTAATTGGGTTGAAAATCGAAGAACGTTCAGGTTTATCAAAAACTGCTTACGCATCTCTGTCAATATGATCCAATAGTACGCCCTATTTATTAGTAATTTGATCCAACAAATTGAGTATCATCTGCTTATTATTCTTTTCAATAAATACCTCCAAGTTAACGAATTTAAGAAGTAGGGATCTTCTTTTATTTATTTAATGTATTTGGACTTGTCTTTCACATTAATGAATATTGCAGTGTCAGGTTTTTGCTAGGTATCTTGAGGTAATCCTCAATAATGTTTGACGTCATTAAAAACTGATGATCGATCTAAGTGTGGGAGAGCCATGCTTCGGCACGAATGGGCCGGCTCGACCGGGGTGATACCACGGCCTCACAGAAAACCGTTGTGAAACAACGCTTGCGTTGTGTTTCGTCATGTGAGTGAGGTTACCGGAGGCCCAATTACTTCCCTCCCTAGTCTCCCGAATCCCTGAATCCTCCACAATCCTCAAATTCCCAATTCCCAAAAGGCCGGTAACGCACTTGTAACACCTTGGTGTTCCAGGTGTCCATGGGCGGCGCCGATTGCTTACTATCAGGTGATCCGTCTGCTCGTTTACCGGCTTATGCTATAAAATAAAAAAAATCGACTCAAATCATTAATATTTTTTGGTCTGTTCATTAGACCGATGACGGATGAGAGAACGTACTACAATGACAATGATATAATTGACGAGTAAATTCAGTGACCTTCCAAAAACTTTATCATTAGTACTTGGCTGTTGATGGAAGCGAGCTCGAACTGGATAGGAGCTCCCGAATCTAGATTAAATGGCGTATTTGAGAAGATTGGACTTAAGTTTTAAGTTTTAGTTTTGTGCCAAGTGTCTTAGTAAACATGATCTAAATCTTTTTATAATAACTATCGTGAGACATACTAAATTACTAAAAATCGCGGGTTACTAAACTAGTAGAGCTTTTCTCAGTATATTCCCGTGAGTAACCCGCGATTTTTAGTTAATGATCTAAATCGTTGATATCAGGGATTATTTTGACCTAGTATTTTTACTATTGTGCAATTATATTAGTGGCGATAATAATGGCGGTCATAAGGCTTCCCGAAGAAGTTTTAAGCAGCTAATTACGATAAGTGTCACAAATTGCCTGAAGGTTGCTTTACCTACCTATTAGATATCTGTTCTTTAGAAATATTACATCATATTCATAATGGTTTAACAAACAATCTGCAGACAGACTAATATACATTCGTTTGCTTGAAAAATTACCAAAAATTCAAAGAATTATAAGCATGCTTCATAGTTCATTGTATCGTAGACAATAATAATTTCCAAAGGCGCCAATATTCAACGGAAAATTTACAGCAAATAAAATCTTGCAAATGTGGTGTGTGGATATGTATTATATTATGCGAACGATTATCCGTATGATAATGAGGATGCTAAACAATATTGAGCACGGAAAATAATATTTTGTTAGTTCAATAATGGTGCAAATAAATATACGTGACGGTTGTATTAAATATATCTATTGGATGTTTGTTGATACTCTTAGGAATGAGACCTTAATAATTTTCGAGCTGGTTAGGTTTTACACCTTATCAGACAGACTGAAACAATTTATTGTTTATGCTATTGTATTGAATAGGCTTTGAAACTGATAGATCGATATGAAAAAATCTTTGATATTTTATCTTTTATAGACTTTCGTATAGATGGAAAATCTAGTAATCTAGTAATAAAAATAAGATACTTAATTAGCTAAAATTTTCCCATTTTATAAAACACTAAATAGGAAGATATATTATCCTAATTAGGTGTACCTAAAAAAAATGTATTTTTAAAGACTCGCTACTCGCTAGTACCTAGCTACACATTTTACTCATTTAAATTGAAATCGTCAAAACCATTTTCACAAATTAAATACGTCTTATTTTCTAAGAGCCTTACCGAGTTCTACAAATTGTAAAATGAAGAGTACTCCTACTAAAATGATAAACACACAAATGTTTTTGTTTTTAAGAGCCATTAAATGTGAGCGAAACGAGGAGGCATTTGTAAGACTTGCCCTCTTGTTTCAAATAGCTAATTGTTATTGCTAAAGACATTGAATGACCTAAAAATACCTATTCCGGCAGACGAGACGCATACCTATGTTGAAAAGGAGTAAAACGTTCCTTGCATGCTCGAAACAATTAAGAGCTGACAGATTTTGGCACTGCATCTAGACAAAAATACTTGCGCAGAAATGAGTAGGTAATAATGCAGTTAAAATGCACACTAGTAAACAATATTTATGGGAGAAAGATATTTCAGAAGCAGAATATCTCGATATTAATATACTCGATGCGCTGTCTAAATATTTCGTCGTCAATTTATAGTTCATTTTAAGATTTGATTTATTTACAATCGCATCTTACTTCATAAATCATGTTTATTTTAATTCCAGGGAGACCATTAACATTGTACGTAGTGTTGTATTATTTATCGATGGCTTCATTTTACATTGTTGTTCTAGATATCTTGAGTTAATAGAAGTTTCTAGATTGAACAGATATTATTTGGATGCTAAAGCAAATAGCGAAATGGAATTTTAAGTGTGGTACTGCCATGCTTTGGCACGAATGGGCTCGCGCGACCAGAGTGATAGTGATAACACGGTCGTTCAGAAAACCGACGTGAAACTTGCGTTATATTTCGTCGTGTCAGTGAATGTACCGGAGGCGCAGTTACCCCCGTCCTCAAACTCCTCAATCCCCGAATCAACAAAAATCCTCAAATTCATAATCCCCAAAAGGTCGGCAACGCACTTAAAACGCCTCTGGTGTTTCAGGTGGTGCCGATTGCTTACCATTAGGTGACCCGTTTGCTGGTTTACCGGCTTATCCCATTGAATAATGGGAAAGTAGGAGTTATAATAAACTGCCTTAACTTCAAATGGGTGCCATTGCCGATTCCCTGGCTTTTCCAAAGAAAATATCAACATTTTTCTTTATACACTCCTTGCTCGAACAGATACAATTAATACGCCTACAAGAAATTATCCAATTTGGTGCAGTCGTTCAGAAGCTATACGCGTCTAAACATTGCGCCGGTTTTAAAGTATAATTCATTATAGCCTTCACTTCTTACCTCCCTTACAATAATAACAAAGATATATAGCTATGTTAGTAATTCATTAATATATCGTATAGTGTTGACGTTGACACATCTGTTACTTGTGTGATTTCCCACAGGAGGATTTTAACGATGGATTATTGTTGGCTTTGCACAAAAGTAACGAGCGGTTTGTAGTGTTTGTACAATTCACAAGTGGACCGATAGACTCGTTATTGCTTTCCGTGACTGGAAACAGCTCTGTTTTTCATGGTTTTTTATTGTATTTATTTGAAACGAGGGTAGGATTTTAGTTTTTACCCTTGGGTTTTGGCTTGTTTTATCTAGGATTATTAGATGTCGTTTTTTGACTAGGTTTTTACTATATAATTATCTATTTAAAACTAGGTAACCCGGCAAACTACGTATACTTAGTCTAAAATTTTTTTCCATCTCCTAAGCCAAAATTACCTAAATCGGTTCAGCCGTTCCCGAGTTTTAGCGAGAATAACGTACAGATATTAATTTTTATTTATATAGATTACGAGGTTACGTCCAAATGAAACGATATCATGTTAATCTTACTCATGACATGACACGTCTTGCACGGATAGCCCAGCCAAAAATATTTCGACAACTGATGTGTAAATCTAGACTGTTCTTTCTGTTTAAACTACAACTCTTAAAAACATTGCCCACCAGGGACAAGCGCAAAGGAAAATAAGAAAGATTTTCTAACATCTGTAAGATGAATAAACCGAATGAATGATCATTAACAAGATTAAGATGTTGATGTAGCAAACATGCTAACCAGAGCAAGGCTACCCGAAGACAACGTGATAATAATCACGAGAATGAAAGCACACAACGGATTTTTGGCCCAAATTCAAGGAAAGTACGTTTTTGTATAAATGAGTGACTAATTCTCACGCCTTGCTTCAGAGAAGTGGTCAATTGGTGAATAAACGCGCAATTGTACCTATACGTCATCTAGTGACGGTGCAATTAGAATCAACTGCATTGATTGCCGAATGAGATGACCAAGAATGGATTTTACCAATGTCATTTACGTAGAGTTATTCCCATTTGTCCTTCACAGACCATTAACTTGGCCTATCTACCTCTTGGAACTCCTGACTAGCCAAGTAATTGAGGATAACGCTTTTGGCATGAAATACTTTGGTGATGTAATATTAAACATCAGTCCCTGATAAGATAGATTGCTAATAAGTTCCTGGTAACCGTAATTGGCAGATCGCAAATTCAGTATTTGCAATCTATATGTTGTTTCAATTTTATATCTAACTAGCAGATACTGGATGCTTAAAGACTGAAAAACGCCTATCTGTACCTATTTAGGCTCCAGATATTCGTTTTCAAATCCTCATCCATATTGTTCTACGGTAATCCTCAATTCAATGAATATATCATAGTTTTCGTATTCCTAGCTAAACTTAGGCTCTATCACAATCGCCTATTATATTACCAGCAGTTCTGTCTAGAGAAATTTGCATTTCGAGAACTTTAGTCTTTGCAAACTCTCTTGGGTATTGCGACCAATGCCTACGAAGTAGATATGTATGTATATATATATAGACACCCCGTTGTTACCTACATCGCGTTTCGATTACAATTCTGGATATACAAGGCTTAGACATGGTTTTTGGAGTAATAAATCTTAGTATTATACTATTGTACCGTTCGCAGTATTTGTATGGAAAATATTTTCA